GAAAGGAGGTACTGGATAACCATAACATCCCCCGGTTATGGGCCTAGACCGTTTATCATCTGCGCTCGTACGCCGAGTCGGGTTTGGGGTTCACCGCGCTAAGAGTTAAAACCTCAGCATGACTGGTGGCTCGGTAGCCGATAGACGTGTCACTTATGCATCCACGAATCAATAGCCGCTTTACTTCACACCCACCTCGCATCATTAGTCATTTTACACATAGTTGTTCGTCCGCCGAGCCTCCCGCCATGCCCGGGACACGCCAATGGGTTAGTTAACAATAATTGCATCGACTCGTCGAACCGTGCAAGTATCGGATTTCGCCACTTCCAAGGGTACCACCCTATTAACCGACTATTAAGGGGTAGTTTGTCTTCGGTTAAAAATTTGTCGAGCGTACATACTCCTGGAAAAAGTTCCACTTTAAAAATGGAGAACGTTCAACGGAACTGCACCCGGACATCATTTCTGACGTAGATTGTTTTCCTAGAGACCTCAATGACAGAGTTATTTCATACCGTTCATATCACGTGGATGAATAATTATGACGCCGTTGCGTACCTCGGGGCTTGATTGCAAAGTTTCATTACATCTCGGCAGCATTTATTGTTAAAGTTGGCTGCCGAGAATGTCCACGTGGAATGTCCTGGCAGTGCGTAGGTGCGACGAGAATTGACTCACCAACTGCAGAATCTGGGAGTGCCTTTTACGCAACGAAGTCGGGCTCCAGGTCGAGCAGTCTAACATTCCCATGACACGATAGCGGTAATCAGGGTAATAATCTATGGAATAGACAGCGCTCGCTTTTAGGAACGTTTTGGAAGGCTCGGAAAGGCAGTGCTCGACACATAGGCCCGGCACTTTATTCCCGGGTCCTGTCACCCAGGGGAAACCCCGAGGAACCCGTAGGAACCCATAGGAACCCATAGGAACCCCCAGGCACCCCCAGGCACCCTCGCCAGCCCCAACTCCCCGCGAGATTTATGATGCATGCCCAATCGAGGGATAACCCTTGACTTCTTAGTCAGGCTGCAAAACGCGCCCGGATCGGAACCCGACTACCGGTGACTGGAATAATTTCAAAAGCTTGCTAAAAGTCATATCATACTAACATAAATCAGCTCAAAAATAGCTATCTAACGCAAAATGCAGCGATAATTTAAAAAACTCCATAACGAATCCCACAGAAAAGATCAAGAGTGATCTGGACGACTTAAGGCCATTAACGTAATGAAAAAAAAAAAAATAAATAAATAAAACGCAATAATCGTACCGATTCGGCACCGAAAAAAGAAGACAACAATTGTTAATAAAATGCACAGAGACGACTGCGCTTCAAAGTGAACTCATAAGGATGGGAAGGAAAAATAATTTAATTTGAAAACCAGGCGTCAAATCATAACCTACGACAACTGCAATAACTGTCTGGACAATTAATTAGTGTTGGGCACCGTAGAAATAGACTGCAGTAAAAAATGAATTGCAAAATCTCGAGATATACCTAGGTAAATCTTGGAGACGAAAGAACGTTATAACCGTGTGTCATTTTTTGTTACTAGTTATTTTTCTTTCAAACGATCCTTTAAGCGCCCCGAAGGAAGTTCGAATTCTGGAAGCTCTTGGAAAAGCGCGTTTCGCGGGAAAGTCTAAAAAATCCCAGAATCGTCTATTTCCTCTGCGGAAATCGAATGCGGAGTCGGTGCGGCCTGTAATTAATCATCCCGCGATGTCAGCCGTAGTCACTCGGCCGACTCGGGTCTTCGACTTACCAAGGATGTCCTCGCCGCCATCGTGGATTTGCACCTAAGAATAGACGAAAGAAATCCACCAGCCTTCCTCTCAGGGTATTAATCCGCGATCGGTCGAACGATCTTCGGAGCTTTCGCTGATATTTCCAGAGTACCTCCGCGCTGGGGACTTTTTTCCCCGTTCCAGGGAAAATGGCCTTGCGTGCGGACCCCTTGAATTACGCGCGCTTCCCGACTGGAAATGGCACCGGCACGGGTTTATTCGCAGGGGACCGACCACAAGGTGTTCTCCAGAGAGTGGAGCGGCAAAGTTAACACCGCGAGGCTCCGCTGGTTCCATCTATCATGCGAACCATGACAAACCGAGCTCAAAAGCGGCCGCCGGGAGAGCGGCCTTCCTTCACTTAGTCACCACCACCCGACGCCTTACCTGTCCGACGTCCCGGGACCTCTATCCTCTATCTACATTTGTTAACGTTTAAGCGTTAACAACATTTCTCCACCGGAGAACGTCGAAACGGGAACGGGTCAGTCCCCTCGAGGACCCGGGAAAAAGAGGAATGGCATCTTCTTTAATTAACCGTGGGCGCACCTTTGGCCTGTTGCTAGACCCTATATAGGTATATATNAGTACCACTGTTCAAATGCCAGGATTATTATTAAAATTCCATTTCAAGAAATTAACTCGCAATAAGGCAATAAATACCCTCCCTTGGTCAACCACGAGATATAACTAGGTACTCTGGGATCTACTCTGCACTTATGGGGAAATGATACGAATTATTGCTATCAAGATTCCGATGTTTCAGGGAGACAAATTCGAAGGGAGGTCTGGAAAGTGTTCAAAGTCGAATCAGGTGGCGTTTCGGGGTTAGGACCACTCGGGGGGCGAATCGGTGCATCCCGGACGCGGATGGCGGTCTTAAAGCCAAGTGGCGAGGACGAGTTGTCCCCCGACGATAGTAAGATTTATGGTCGCAGGACGAGAGTCGTTCCGGAGGTGGGCAACCCTTGACTCCTGGTCGCCGTGAGGGGCCCACCCTTTCGGTGACCTAGCAAGGCCGCGGAAGGGACCATCGATGGACACGATTGCCAAAGGCAAAGGTCTTCTTAACCAGGTCTTCTTCCTCAGGAGACATCTTCCTCACGAATGATAAAATGAAACGGAACGAAGAGTGAATAAATAAATTATTTTCCAATTTTCTTTGCCAAGCAGTGAGGGGTTAAAATTCCCCGGAGGGAGATAACCCGTTATCGAGCAGCTGACGATTTCTCGATCGGATGAAAAAATGGAGGGAAAAGCGACGGTCGAGCAGAGGCCACGTCCGGTCGAAGGACGCGCACGAGAGGTCGCGCCTTGGCCGAGTGTGGGCCCGACTCGCACGCATCGCCACGTGGTCATCCATCATTGTCACGGTCTCTTCACTGACACGAGAGGCTGCAGCCTCCCGGCCGAGCTGGACCAAACTCTCGGCCGAGCTCGAGCCGCGACTCGGACCCTTTTCCGACGAGTAAACGAGTAAACGAGTAAACGAGTCGACGCGTCGATACGTTCTAGGCTCGGAGAGAAAGTCTCCGACTCAGCTGGGCATTTTTCCTGGTCTCCGATCTGTAAACTGGATGTAATTAGCGGCCCAGCTGCGACTAAGAACAAGAATAAGAAAATAAGACCGTGAGATAGGACTAGATCCGAGTTATCTCCAGATCGGCAGATATTCCGATGACTTAAACATAATGATGATCCTATCATCCCCAAACAAATGTCGTACACTTGTGATGACCTTTAATGACGGTTGTAGCGTCGCTCTACAACTCTTACGTACAATCAGGAGGGATAAACAATATGCGATGTGGCGCATTGTACTATTTACAAGGAACCTTCGTATATAAACAAGAGTGGCTCGTAACGTATTATACAAAAGAGACGCAATAAACATCCTCGTCAAATCGGCCAAAGGACTAAACGGTGAAATGGTGCTTCTCGGTGGCGGTGTCTCCTCCGATCGGGGTGATGCCGATTGTTCCTGGATAAATTAGCGAGTGAATGAGTAGAAAAGTGTGGCGGGGTTTGTTCCGAGTAGAGAGAGATTCTCGACCGTCGAGCTCTGTCTGCTGGAAACGATTGTTATTCAATTTGCCTTATTTTTATGGAAATTTTACGTCGCAGAAAGAGAGAGATCGACGGTTTCGGCTCTCGACGGTTTCAGGGAAATATGCAACGGCCGGTGTGACAACTATTCCCTTTTAGAACTATTGCATCGTACCTACTCGTGTTTATAAATTATCGGTATACTTAGTACGTCCTAGGCGTGATTGCGTATAGAGATGACTTCCGTACTTAACTCGTTACTCCTTTTCGTCGAAACTACTTTTCGCGTATGATACATCCACGACGTAAGGGATTCCGTTTCATTAGTTAATTATTAGCGACCCTATTCGTTCCTGGCGAAGATTCGAGCTGATCGATGGCCGAGCAAGCCTGGGATTCCTAGGCCCAGCCCAAACCCGACTTAACCGGCACGAATGATAAAATAATTCAAGGACAGCGATAACACGGTGACAACTCGAACCTCTACCCTCGATTTCACGTTCCCTCCATTCGGTCGATCGTTCATCTACATGGCTATTTCGCGTTGCCTCCCGCTCGAGCGATCGGTGATTTTATATCTTTACTCCTAGGTACGTGAAAAAAGTGACATTTAATCAAACACGTGAAAACCCATTCCTGCTAGTAGGATTTTGCCCCAAGCGTTAACATGCCCTTTCCCTGTCCCACGTGCACTCGTCTTCCATGTTTCACAGCCAAAATATTACTTTAGAGTCTTCCCAAGAGTCAGAGGACCCACGATCCTCTACCTCTAAAACCAATAAAAGTAATCCAATTTCACAGACGGGTCCAAGTGCAGAAGGGACGTCATTCCGAGCGTCATCCAGAAGCCGCATCCAGGCTCCCAGACCCCATCAGCGGACTATCTCGCTCGGCCAGGGGACGCCCAAAAAACGATCAGCTGCGACCAACGGATCTACCTAATCCCAGAAAGATTGCACTGGTTTCTTACTTTTCTCCACCCGAAGACGGTACGAGTCCGCAGGATCCACGGTCACCTATATACAAGGAGCTACTAAGTACCGGCAGTCCTAAGGACACCATCAGCGGTCCAGGATGGGGCCAACGGGCAGTCAATAGAGTTCATTCAGCAGGTACTGCTCGTCGCTCCAGTCGAGTTGCCCTCCGCCATCGGTCTCGTGGACTCAACTGAGCTGATAGTACTCAGGTGCGAAGTCATTAGCGAGATTGCTCAGGAAGTTGAAGTCGGACGAGCTGTTGCTGTTGTCCGCGGACGGAGGAGGAGCCGAGGTGTGCACGGGGTCCCCATAGAAGTTACCAAAGTTCCCATAGGCCTCGCTGTTGGCATCGGCCTGTCCAGCGGTGCCGGATGGAGTGATAACGGCAGCGGTCGCAGCAGCGACCGCAGTGGCGGTCGTGGCCATCCCAGGTGCTGGGAAGGGGTCCGGAGAGGAAACGTAGCTGCTGGGAATGTTGGAGGCCTCGCCACCCTGGTGCGGATGCAGCTGACTAGTTTGCTCGTAGTAGGCACCAGGATGACATTTGTTCCCGCTCCTGCAGTCCGCAGAGCCGCCGTGGATGGACGCCTGATGGGGCCCGTGGTAGGCCTCCGGATGTTGCTGCTGCTGCTGTTGCATCTCGTTGTAGTAGTGCTGTCCACTCTGGGCGGAAACGGCGGCATGTCCATGAGGAGCCATGTTATCGCCCGAATGATAGTTCCCGCTGGTCGGGTATCCGTAGCTACCGCTAATGTAGTTCTCCGATCCAGGCTCGGCGGATCCCGAAGAGTAGACCTGGCCAGTTGGGTAGCCCGTGCCGGCACCTTGCATCGTCCGATGGTGATAGGAGCCGTGATAGGCGATGCTCGGCTGAGGGTACCCATTGTAGTCTCCGGTATTGCCGTATTGAGCTTGCTGCTGCTGGTGGAACTGCACCGGTGGGTTGTACACCGGACGAGTGGTCCCGGAGCGAACGGGGTGGCTGCGAGCTGTAGTTACCTGGTTCTGTCTGGTGTAGAGAGGGTGGATCTCGGCCGGATAGGCCACTCGTTGCTGATAAGCTTCCCTGGAGCAGTAGTTGCTCTGTGGCTGACCCTGCTGCTGGCTCCCCGGAGGCACGACCTGTCGCGTCGGTCCCACCGCCATTCCGTTCCTATAGTCTATCCCTGGAGGAGGGTACACGTTCTGCTGCTGGAAGTGGGTCTGCGGATTGCCGGGAATGCCTCTCCCTCCACCATGAGGCGACATGGTCCCCGGGTTCACGGACCCGTGCAACATGGACGTGGGCACCGAGGGCACCCCGGAGCTGGTCGAGCTGGGGGAACTTCGAGGTCTCTGCATGTACGCCGTTGCGTGGCTCGGTTGCATGTTCAGGGGGCTACCCTGCTGCAGGTGCACGGACACCGGGGTGCTGGGTGTCGAGGAGGGAGTCAAGCTTCTCGCCGAAGTTTGTCCCGACAGGGAAGGCGTCCCCACCGTGGAATCGGGCATCGCCAGCAGGACTCCGTTGCTGGTCACCGGGCAGATGTCCTTGTTGACCGCCGATGGAGACTTCTTCCCCGGGAGCTGCTGCTTCCCTGGATTCGGGCTCTTGTGTCCACCTTCCACCTTCACCCTGATGTCGCCGGCCAGCTTCTTGGTGCCCATGCTGGGCGACGTGACCTCGCTGCCGTCCTGGGACCGCGAGTCGTCGTCCGCGATCATCTTCTCGAAGGAACTCGACACGCTGTTGGTGCTCCCAACGCTGCTAGCTCCGTTGCTGTTGTTGCTGAACCCTGCGCTGTTGTTGTTGGTCGCGCTGAGGGTGTTGTTGTTGGTGCCGCTGCGCATGGCGCCGATCTCCGTCACCTCGCCCAGGGTGCTACCCACGTCTCCGACCCCAGAAATATCACAGTTGTGGCAGCTCTTCTTCTCGTCCTCATCGATGGCCAGCAGCTTCTCCCCTTTGGTCTTCTCGACCCCATCCGATGGCGCCCCGTCCTTCTCGTCGCCATCTTCCTTGCTCAGGGTCTGACGCTTGTGCTTCATCCGCCGGTTCTGGAACCACACCTTCACCTGCCAACACACAAGTTTCTTCCTTGTCGAGCCCGATCGAAATCCTGGTCCTCGCGACCCGACTATCCATGATATTTCGAGGGTCTCGTTCGCCATGTTTGCCGACTCTTTTGCCACCTTTTCTCTTCTCACCTGTCGCTCGGTCAGGTCCAACGAGGCGGCGATTTCTATTCGACGGGGCCGACACAGATACTTGTTGAAGTGGAACTCCTTCTCCAGCTCCAGAAGCTGCGTGTTCGTGTACGCCGTTCGCAATCTCCTGGGAAGGCCATTTTCTGCAACACGAAAACATCTCTCAGTCCTTCTCACGACTTCCACGATCTTATCCGACTTTTCACAAAACCTGGGCAATCCTTTGCCTTCGGGCTATTGTTGCGAACGACTACGACAATTAACCGACGTGCCTTTTTCAGCCCGACGAGAAGAAAACGTCTACTCCACTACAATTTGTAGCGGATACCGGTCACCGCTGTCGTTTAATTAATTATTGTTTGCGTCAACCCGTACGCGCATTAACGACGCAAGACTTTGCTGCTTTGCGTCGCTGCGATGACACGTTCTGCTGGGAACCAGCGGGGAACTTTTTAGAAACTTCCAAACTTCCCAACTCCAAGTATTTCGCGTAGAAATATCAGGTGCCCCTGATTGTTATCACGCTCTATCCTGAAAAGAAAAAATATTCACCGAACCAGAGAAATATTTTGTTAATTGTGACTACATATTTGTGCCAAATTCTTTGAATTAAAAATATATTTCTTTGATTCAATGAATTTTTCTAAGTGTTAAAACATGATGGTGATAATGCGGCGTGTTGTGTTGAAGATATACGAGTGGGTACGAGGTGCGACGTTAAAAAATTTGTATCGTTCTTGTTTGATCGTTGTATCAGGTTCTGCCGTTGATACACATAATTAAGGACTACAGGATTATTTTAAATCCGGCGGTGGAGACCTTTCATGTCGGATATCGCGGTCGAGTGTCAATTAAGCCAAGAAATCGGGTTAGCTCGAACGTCGAACGGTCTGTTAGGAAATTTCCGAGTGCACTTAATGAAGAGCCGCGTAACCAAACAACAAGGCCGCGTATTCGAGCCTCGTCGACGAGGCGTCGGATAAAAATACACCGACATGTCCTAGCTTTTCACTCTTCCGAGACGAGGTCCGCGACGATGGACTGTCAGGCGACGTCACAGTGCGACGACCGAAGAGTGACAGCGTCGTGTGCGAAGCCGAGCGGATCCAGGCATCGAAATAGCTCCTTCTCGAGTCCTCTGATTCGCCTCCTTTCTGATCTTTCTGAATATCGGACAGACCATCTTCGAAGACCCCAACAACATCAAACGACGTAGAACAACGCCTACCTCGGAGGATCGGTCAACCGGATCCGCTCGGCCAGATTCGCGACTCCCTTAAGCTTGATCAACGCATCGCACAGAAAATCACCCTAGACAAAATATGTAGAGGCTGAGGAGACCCACATCTTTTGTCCATGACTTTTCCTCGTAACTTTGATGGTCAAGGAGCTGGAGCCGATTCAGCAGGCGCCATGCGAGTTCCTCGGGTAGCGTTCGGCGGCAGGGAATAGCTCGGCGATTTCGAGCAGTACAATCTCCCTAGTGGTACCATCTTCGGTATCCGCGCCCGGCCGCTCATTTCTCAAGTGAAAACTCTGATTAATGGGTAAAAACGACAAGAAGTAGCCACTCGTAAGTGGGCGAAGGGTGCCCAGCACTCACTCCAGCGATTTACGACGCGTCACTCCGAGAACTCGGCATCGCGGTGTAACTCTTGCACTCCGCCCAGGTGGAAAATTCAAAACCTGGGGATCCTCCCCGGGAAGAATCGAGATTTACGACGGCACGCGTGAAACCGCGCGAACGTCGGGCCTCGAGATGAAATTATCTCGGGATGGAGGAGATGCGCCACTTGTGCACCGAGAGAGTAATGATAATTCGGTCTGTCAACCTGGATCGCTACCGGAGGAACGGTTAGAAGGCGAAGCCCCTGGTAACGATCTCCAGGGTACCAGTTAACGTTAATATCGTCGTTAGCTCCCACCTAGTGTGCGCATTGTACACTTTGTACCCACAAGGTACATACAGGGATGCCACCGTAATAATTGCCTAAGGTAGCGTCGATTTTATTATTCATCCCTCTTCGGACTGACGACGAGGCAAATTACAAGGGCCTCCAGTCCGGTAATTCCTCGTCGCCGCTAATGCGGCCATCTTCGCGGCCAAGGGAAATCGAGGAGGATGTGAATTATTTAAAAATCACCAAATTACAAAGGAATCGGCTAGGTGGTACCACTGGCAGCCCGAAGGACGAGGCATTGGGGATGGTGCAAGAGTTTAGGGTGGATTATGCGTGGTTCGCGTAATGCCATTTAATGGCGCCCTTAATGTATGGGCGGGTTGTCGATGTCCATTATCCGTGCCTAAAAAGTAGATTACTCGGATAATCTGGTCTAATTTCCAGGAACAAAATATACAACGACAACGGCCCTAGGAGAATTTTCCGATTCCCAGAAACTGGGTAACGAGGAGACTTATATTACTCGTCCGTTACTCGAGTCAAAAAGAAAAATGACCTCCTTCGTTATTACAGCGTTTGACTCGTGTTTACGTAGCGGTACAACTCCGTACGCGGTGTTAGAAAATTATAGTAAATCCAGGGTTTATTTTCGCACTCGAGGCGGTGCCAAGTTTCGCGGGGCGCCTCCACTTTTGCGTCCGAGTTACGTACTCTGGTTCCGTAATGCCGTTTTTAAATGTCGAGGCAGAGTCGAAGGGAACGAATAAACATCCCACCGTGGAAATAACGACGTTCGGGCATGGAAAACGTCGGGGCGAGGGGGTTCGCATTATTTCTGGAGATTTTGTCAGTCGTCGAGCCGAGCGCGACGGCCGTCGCTTCGCACCTCCAGCTCGACAAGATGGCGGCCGAGCTTTCTTGAATTATGACTTACGAGTCCCGAGTCGACTCGGCGAGTGACACGTCCCATTGTTTGTTCAGCCCTGGATTTCAGCCGGGAGTGTCGATTCCCTTTCTCGGTTTCTCCGATCCGGAATCCCTGGTACGAGAAGTCGAGTCTTTGCCCCGAGGCGTCGCGACGCGGCTCGCGTTTGCTTGTTGTTTCTTCCAGGGTGATCGTTTATTGTCGTAGGAGAAGTTCAGCTTGTTCCGTCAGGTCGGAATCGGAGACACTAATAGTAGACTTTCTTGGAGAAAGCCTTTGGCGGCCCTCAATGGCTACGAAAAAAAAGTACCAGAAGGCCAACGTCAAAGCAATATCGGTATTCACGGAGTCTCGATACATAACCTAAGCGAATCGATGTTCGCGCCTCTTTCCGAATTTATACGAGTCTTTTAGGAAAACCGTGCTCGTCGTCGACGTTGGAAATCATCAATAGTAACGTCTGCAACGTTGCTGTATCCCATTGCCGATAGTAAAACCTCGCTTAACGGTCTCTCCTCTTCCAAATCGAGCCTTTTTCCCGGGAACGTCGGCATTTAAAGTGTACGCAATTAATTAGGTTTACTTTATTTTATAAGAGAAACATGCCTATAGTAAATAGGATCTCGTTTTCGGATCCACCGGCTTGGCGGGGGGTGCAGGAAGAGATCGCGGAGTATCGTTTGCGAGCACATGGAGGGATGGAAAGAAAAAGGGCCCGAAGAAGTCCGAATCCGCACGCGACTACGAGTCGAGGGCCTCGCAGGACTCCTAGGGGCGTCCGAAGGATCCATTCCGATCCTTTTTCCACGGCCTCGACCGTGGTCTTTCGTCCGTGGACAGGTGGGAAGGGTCACACGATGGCCGCCTCTGTAATTTGTCTTTTGTTTCCTGAGCGGCGTGTTCGCCCGGAGGAAGAAAACTTGCGGAGAACAAAGGGCGGAAAGAGTCCGCGGCGGAGGGAGGGAAGAGAGCGGATAGACGTATTCATAAGGGCCAGCGTGGAGAGGGAGAGAGACGGAGGCCGCCTCCTAGAGCGAGTCGGCGACGGCCAGGAGAGCGTTTAGCAGGGAGCGAACCTTTGAAAAATGAGTGACGAGAGTTTGAAACAAATGACGGGACAGCCGGTTCCGCGTCTGTCAGCTTTCGCCGGCGAGCAGGGGACGCGGATCGCCCGAGGAAAATTGCCGGGTGGCTCGATCGTTAGTTAAATACTACCCGCCATTGACCGGCGAGGAGTGCTATTCCGCTCTCTTTCGAGCGAGACGTAGGTAAATAAAAATTAAAGGAACCCCCTCGTCGCATCGCGTTCCATCGGTTCCACGTCATTCAAGGAGTCGCCGGATTTCGAACTGGATCGTCATGACCTGGGTTCCGATTCTCGAGTTCATCCGGATTTAATTCCCATGACAAAAATCGTATGAATTCCTGATCAATTCATCGAAACGAATCGTATGAAATATTTTATTAATTGAAAGAGCACTTTACTCGCCTCGAGTAAACTCGAATAAATAGGAAGCATCGTTTCTCGAGAATTACGAGAATACATCTGAGTTTGTAATTCGAGGGAAATAGATTATTCCTTGAATTAACGATAGATTTCCTTGGTCCGATCTTTTTCTCAGCGTAGGGCTGACTACGAGAATCTACGATTTAATCGCCTCATATCGGGGGTGAAATTAATAGGATTATTAAGAACATCTTCGACGAATCGAGAGGGCGATCCGAGTTCTCTAAGCTTCCTCAAGACGCGGCCCAAAATTATTCATGGCCGCGCCTCGGAGTGCCTTCTTTGCGGACTGTTGGGTAATTTGCGGCAAGGCGAGGCCGCGCAACCCAGGGGAGAGTATATCGCCGCAAACTGTGCTTATTACGGATTTATGCGAGGCAAGGCTTCGCCCGGGAATGGCAGGGCACCGAACAAAACTATATGCGCGCGGCTCTGGTTTTGGTGGGCTGCTCGGCCCTCGGGTCGGGTCTGACTTCGACCTATAATCAATTAACGCCCCGCAAAACAAGAACCGCGGCTGACCAGTGGCCGGCGCCGCAAAATATTCCGCGGCCGCCCCGCAAACCGCCCAGCGATCGCCGCTTCGCCCACTCTGTCGAATCCCACGATTCTAGTTCAACTTCCCACCTGAATTATTCTAGAAATCGGACACCATGAATTTCGATAACAACGCGATGGATTGAGTTTTTATCCTTTTTCAGCGTGATTTATTAGTTACAAGAAATAACGAGTGAGATGATATCCGCAGTAAGGGACGCCATTTTGAATCGCGGTACACCTCTGAATCTCTCGTTTTTCTCAATGATTCCT